CGGTAAAAAAAGTTTGACGTACAAAACCGAAATACATTTACGTAGATTAGATGGTGCAGCTTTAAAAGTAGGATAACAAATATCCGTCTGTCCTTATCTTTCCTTCATTGGAAGGAACATAATGAATTTCATTGAAGCTTCTATAATGGACATTGGGAAATCATATTTTTTCACATAACGGTTGGAATTCTGCACGAGGTTGATGCGTTAGTGGAAAAAAACTCCATGATATAAAGTCGGAAATTTATCAAAATTACTTTTTTTGTCTCTTGTCACGCCATCAAACTGAAAGTAAACGGACCGAATCGGCTTAAAGCCAAGAATCATCGAAAAAATTTATACCAATCTGGCAAAGTCTTTGTTTCGAGGCCAATTTTTTTGCACTGAATAGGCCACCGCCCAAATTTCGGAAAAAAATTGATGTTGTGTAGTTTGAGGGGGCTATAGTAAATCGTTTCATTTTTGCATGTTCACATCCGTCATCGGTAAAAACAGGGTCGTGAAAACCGAATTATATATTCATCAGATGGCGCCCCTTCAAAAGTAGGATAACAAATATCCGTCTCTCCTTATCTTTCCTTCATTGGAAGGAACATAATGAAGCTCATTTACGCTTTTGTAATGGACATTCGGAATTCGTATTTTTCAAATAACGGTTGGAATTCTACTCGAGGCTGGAACGTTAGTAGATAACCCTTCGGCTAACTCAGAGGATGTCGGAATTTAATCTTCAGAGAAGGTAGCTTGAAAGAAATCATCTTGTCCAGCGTCGTTTAGAACTGACCAGTTAATTCGTCGAATTTAGTCAATGTTTGGTAGGTTTAGGTGGGGTTAAAAACGTTAAAACGACTTTGCCGTCTATGAATTTCTTTCAATTTCTATCGCACATATCAGAATTCTCTTCCGCCGAGTCATTTTATCACATCATTCATAACTGAACGAGGTTTGAAGCAGTTTTTAAAACCGATGCTCCAAGCTAAAACGATTTCCTTAGTCTGTCAAGGCAAATTAATGGAAGTGAATTAGTTGTTTTCATTTACAGCACTTACCAAAACCTGTAGCCTTCAGTGCCCAGCTAAGGAAATAATTTTAACCATCTCCTTTCATCCTTTGAGTTTTTAGCAACATACGTCATATATCAGTCA